TCTGCAAATAGTGTTACCAAGTTGTATTTTGTTTCCGAGTTAACCAACAAAAATTTGTGTGTGAGTCCGAGTTGACCGAGAACCAGAGTTTGATGCTGTGCTATCTTTGAACTTGACTAAACATAGAAATATTATATACATACCCATTATAGGAACATAATCCATCTTGTTACAACTTGGACAGAAAATATCCTTTAAAATAATTCTACCACAGATATAGTCAAATAGTAATCCTGAAGTTCTACACGTTATATTGAAAAGAACTGGTGATATTTTGGCGATCCTTGACCGTTGCTTGCTTCACTGAATATGAAAGACGATGCTTCAGTAGATATTAAAGGCGATCGCTGACCGTTACTTGTTCTGTAACTACTCTAGACTGACCTTCCTATAACTGGACAATGAATTAAACCCAGCTACCACAGCCCTCAACAATTAAAGCGTATAAAAGGGGCGGAGCTAAGTTTATTTGTCCTGTCAATCAAGTAATTAACAATCTCTGTGTACTGATCCTCACAGCTGGACTTGATGACATACCCTCGGGGGTTTCAAACGCTTGACCAGATAGTCTTGATTAACCAGTGATAAAGATATTAACACAATAGTTGTCTGGTTGTTAGAGTCTACTGGTTGTAAAACTGTTAAAAGTTACAAGTTTATTGTGTAGTCATCAAGGACAATACAGAATATATTTCTAATTATCAAGTCTTTAATTCTACCCATTCTCTTAGATTATATCTGTCTTAAAAGCTTTTCGACAGTGTGCAATGATGGGAATTTAGCCAAGATACAATTGTTTATTTTGAACTCGCTCCATGTTAAAAAGGTTACAATAGTGAGCGATTTGGAGAATTTGCTTGTGGTATATCTTACTAACTCATGGTTCTAGATTAAAAACGTTTCCGACAGTATGCACTGTGCAATGAGGGAAATTTCTCCAGGATCATATTGGTATATGTGTGCAATTGGGTAAATTTTGCTAAGATACCATTTAATCATCACCGGACAGTGCGCAATGCGAGATATTTCGCAAGGATCCTGTTTTTATTTAGACTTTTCCCTTCAACTGATATACAAACTTAATTAACATATTATACTAATTAGTAAATATTTTACATCATGTGGCCACGTGTTACTGTGGACTTTTAGAGCTAAACTGTCTTTATAGTTAAACCTCAATTAAAACATTAATTCTTCACTATACACCATACTTCTAGCTTCACAATAAACTGTTAAAACAAACTGACATCGTCCCATTCAATTCTAAACTCTAATTAAAATACACGAATAAAAGGCGTCCATTATTACATATTACATAATACCTGGATTACCTAAAAACCTTCATTAAACAATCAACAAAAATTAAATGGTAAACGAAGATATTATCAATAAGCGTTCTATTTAATAAAAATAATTGGAGTTTTACATCCTACTTAAGGAGTATCTGTTGTGTTTTGACCCGATCATGATATACTTGATCTGGTCTAGAGACTTGAGAGTGGTATAACCAGAGAAAATATTACTATAAGTTTTACAAAGTTACAATATATTACGATGAATTAATATCGGGAATTGTTGATCCAGAACGCGATGGTGAGTATTTTTATAAAAAACAAAGAAACAGTCATTTCTGTATAAGGTTAATAACTTAGGTTCACAAGGATTCTGTCTTCCAAACCTCTTGGTATTGACCTGTTCTGAATTATCCGTATTATTTAATAGCTGAGTGAACTGGAATAATGAAAAATGATTACTTTCGCAGGCTGACGAGATAAGACCGTTTTAAATTTCTAAAAATTCACGACATTAGATACTGATGTAGCATTTCCATTCCCTACTTACCCATAACGTTATATAATATATCTAAATACAGTTTTATAAAACCCATTCCAGTAACACAAATGTCTAGATGTTTTATGTGCATCATTTCTATTTCAGAGCCGACGTCAGTAGTTCCTGGTCCTTAAGAACAATAAGGTAAGGTTAGGATATCGATCTCACAAAATACATTGGGCTTGTGAACCTTTTAGTGTCCTTAATTCACAAAGTCAGTAAGCATATTTTGAATTCCACAGATAGCACCAATTTGCACCGTTATAATGATATATAACGATACACCATTCCAAGTTTCAATCAAACGTTGGTAGTTCATGAAAGTCGATTAAAACTTTAACACAATCAATTAGACTTCAGTCGAATATCACAAGAAATTACTAGTTTACACAAAACACATGTAAGCATAATCTTCACTCTAATCCTAAATTGAAACGACGTTAGTTAGGTTACCGTCAGCCAATCCTTGTCCAATTCTCAACTTCATTCAAATTTCCCTGGCCAGAATATTCACGATTCACCACCTAAAACATCCCAGGGTCGACTGTAGATATGAATTAAATATACCTATATAAGAATTTTATCTCCTGTCCCTATCTATAATATATTATCTATATTTTATACTTTTATTACCTACTAGAAAACAACAATTATATCACACAGGGTATTCAATATGATTGATATTAGTTGAAGGGATAGCGTCGTTTAAATAGCTAGCTAATCAGCTGATAGAACTTGAAGTGACATAATCATCTAAATTTCTGTTTAATCAGTTGATACAGTTGTATAGTATAGTAGTAGTTTAAAAAAAAAACCCTGATATTTTCAAAGAAAAATATAAAAATGTTAATATGAAAGCCCCGAGGACAAACTAGGTCATAAAAATTATAATAACAGACAATTCTTTCTTCATTAATATGTAACTAGGTCATATTCAGTTATCTTATTCACATCTTTTAGAAAAAAACAAACGAATAAATTTCTGGAAAAAATTAATATTATTGATTTAAATCAAATCACAATGCCTTACAAACGATCCACTTTATTGCACTAGCGCTCTGCAACAATGAAATGGGGTTTACGTTTTACAAGTTTTCTGCCTTAAAAATCAAAGTTGTTCTAATCAATGTGTCATTTTCTTGTTTGTAAGGTTGTTTTGGTATTTGAATACATCTTAGATTAACGTATTTTTAAAGGTCATTTGTTCACCAATCATACTTTAGTGACAGAAACGGGAATTTTTCAGCTAAGCCAATCAGTAATAGTGTTCACAGCTCCGGGTCAAAATTTTAGCCTTCAAGTCTATGTGTATCCATAATTATCCGTGTTAGAAAGTGAAAAAGACATACATAGAAAAGACATCTACAGAAACACCCCCCCCCCCCCCCAAAGGCACTTCTGTCTCTGTGCAATTCAGCCCAATTTCCTAGTGGCAGTGGAATAGCCCAGTCGGTAACAGTTGGATTGGTTGTCTGCTTGACAATTCGAAACCTCCCTCAAGAAAAATTCTGATGCAACGGTCAGTGCCTCCGAAAGTCGCCGAATGACGGATGTCAACGACTCTCATCAATATTTAAAATTTATCAAGACCAGTGCCAAGTGATAAACTGTGTGTCATGTGACCAGGGTGCAAGATGACAGCCCGAGGGGTAGGATGACAGCCCGGGGGTGATGTCATAAAGGATTACTGTCACTGACTGTCAACTGACATGACAAATACTAGTTTGTTTAAGCACAGATCTATCAAATGGAAACTACGTCATACTTAAATACTTCATTGAATTGAAGAAATGCAATGAGAAGTCTTATTCTCCAGTTTCAGACCAGACTGATAAAATGAAATGAAATACTGTTGCCGAATCCAGTATTTAAACACGATGTGAATTTATGCTACCAGACAACCGCAAAATATGAAATTTAAATCAGATGAAAAACATGACTGTGCGAGTGTATGAATCATTCTTTCAAAACGAATCGTTCACTACAATAAGGTATCTACGTCCCCAGCCAGTGCTATCGAGGATCAATCGCCAACCCGGTTCATCACGGTGCAAGGTTATAGATACTGATATCATATGTTTCCTTGAGTGAGTAATAATAAACACATACTTAATGGTTTACTATTACTACTTAACAGTGCAACGTTTCGACGATGGTACTCTTGTCTTTAACAAGTTAATGATTACTGAAAGGTGGATTATTGTAGCAAGGCGACGTTTCGACGATGGTACTCTTCTAATGTTAACGTTGCTTAGCTAAATAAAGTAGTAAATGTAACTCACAAAGCGTGTTGTATTTAAGAATTCTATAGGTAATAGAAGAATATAAAATCTTACCTACTACAAACGAAAAATAACCGAGACACCATGAAAGAAAGATGGAGTGACTGAGAGTCAGATGATGTTCAGGTGAAACTTGTTTGATGAGAAGTGAGTACAGGTTGACGAGATTGTTGTTTTACAGGTCGACTGTCTTCCTTCCCTCCCTCCCTGACAGGCTGGTAGACCTCAGTATATACTACATAACATTACCCCTACCCTAGTCATTCTATCAACTTCCCACAGTCAAGGTTCAACATCTGATCCTACTGGATCGGAACAACTCTCATAATATTATCTGACGTTTATGTCTGGTCCTAACCGTGACGATATCACATCTTTATATATATATATATATATATCACGTCTAAGAAACGGGTCGGCCAGAATCAAACAGTCACATTTGATTGAAGTTGCCCCGACCCAGTACGGCCCGAATTGTCGGGCTAGGTATCGCCGTATCACTAATATAGTGGTAGAGTGCTTCGTATATTCTTTAATATCTATACAACGAAAAATGGGAAGCCCACGGGTCCCAGCTCCTCAGGAACCTACGCTCCCATAAAAAAACATTCAATAAATGTAAAAGTATCTTAAAGGAAAACAAACAATATAAAAGGGTTCACAACTTATGCTGGGACCCTACCAAGGTCTCAGAATGTAGAGGGAGCAGGTTTTAAAAAATCCTTGGGTGGGGGCGGGGGGAAGTCCACGAACCCCTACTCATCTAGTTCCTTAGGGTGGGGGGAGTCTGGGGATGGGGGGCCACGAGCCCCTATACTCATTTACTTCTTTGCGGTGGGCGGGGGGGCGGGACGTGGTGCAATCCAAAAGTCCACGGGCTCCTACTCATATAGTTGAGCCACCGGCATCTAAATGTTTAGTTTCGTTTTTCCTAGGAGTGACACCACTTATAATCCAACCGGTCATCTTCACCTCATGACCTATGGTAGTGGGAAGATGATTTGTTTTAAACTCACAGACCTTTTATTTACATAATATATACAATTAAATCTTACTTCAAAGTTGTTAGAAAGCCTTGCTTATCCAGAATTATATAGTTTAAAACATGTAAGACTTCCCCGGATAATCGCGTCACAATGTCTTGATATTTAAACTACATGCTTCGACTACCAAATGTAATAGACGACATTCCTCTCAAATTTCAATTTAATCTTAAACTTTACTCTTAAAGGTAATAGGTAAAATGCTTAGCTAGACATTTTATATTAAACGTTTGCTGTCTATAACAGACCTAGCTAGACATTTCATATTAAACGTTTGCTGTCTATAACAGACCTAGCTAGACATTTTATATTAAACGTTTGCTGTCTATAACAGACCTAGCTAGACATTTCATATTAAACGTTTGCTGTCTATAACAGACCTAGCTAGACATTTTATATTAAACGTTTGCTGTCTATAACAGACCTAGCTAGACATTTTATATTAAACGTTTGCAGTTTCTAACAGACCTAGCTAGACATTTTATATTAAACGTTTGCTGTCTATAACAGATCTAGCTAGACATTTTATATTAAACGTTTGCTGTCTATAACAGATCTAGCTAGCCATTTTATATTAAACGTTTGCTGTCTAGAACAGACCTAGCTAGACATTTTATATTAAACGTTTGCTGTTTATAACATATCTAGCTAGACATTTTATATTAAACGTTTGCTGTTTATAACATATCTAGCTAGACATTTTATATTAAACGTTTGCAGTCTATAACAGATCTAGCTAGACATTTTATATTAAACGTTTTCTGTTTATAAAGACCTAGCTAGACATTTTATATTAAACGTTTGCTGTTTATAACAGATCTAGCTAGACATTTTATCAAACGTTTTCTGTTACCTAGAAACTTTCAATCAAGCGGTGCAATCTTCTCCAAAAGTATTTTACATTAAGCAACCCACTTAAGGATTTTTCTTTTTGCAATCTAAGATAAATACCGAGAGAACAAACGATATCTAAATTATTTTGTTTATCGTTTGCGACAGATAACCCAATGTTTTCGGTGGTAAAAAGTAAATGTAGAAATGTTGTAGAATTAAGTCTTTGGACAACCGAAAATAACAGAGAACATGTCGGCTACTGGAAATATCATAGGGTGATAGTTCTTTGTCTGCAGATTCCAGTCACATTGGACATTGCGATAGTGACGTCATAATCTCTGTCAAGCTTTTACTGGAATATCAGGAATTCCAGATGTTGCAGATTAATGGCGAGCCTAAACATTCACCCTCTTTTTTCACTAGTAATATGGACTAATCAACTGACTAAGTAATAATTCAGAAGTCTCTATTGGGATATAAAATCATCATTATTGGAAATAGTAAGAACTGCTGATGAAGTAAATGATCATTGATTTCCTATGAAAGTTGTTTTTAGTATCGACACCCCCTAGTGATATAACTATACATTATACAATAATTCTATAATCACTCTACTCTACCATATCGATTACTTTCAATTCTATCAATAAAATCAATAATTATTGAACAGTTCGTTGAATCAACCTATACAACTATTATAGTAGGCCTATAGCTTAGCTTCAAAACATTTACCAGGAGGATGTAAAACTCCATTTCGTTTCTTATTATATTATTATTCAAAAAGCTCTTATTATTATTTCTAACGACACAAGTCTAGTTTTAACCGTGGGCACTGGTAGCTTCTACTTGTATCGTTTACTTGGGCATATAAAGACATGTTCCTATTTCGGAATAAAATAGAAGCTATGTGAACTCTCTGAAAGGGATGTCAAGTTGATAAACCTAAATACCAAATAATCATTACTAGCTATGTGGACTCTCTGAAAGGGATAAGTTGATAACCCTAAATACCAAATTAACCTTATAAGAAACCCATTAGAAAAAACTCTAGTTTCTGTTTTTGTAAAAAGTACTATATCTAGATAACAAATTTTACACATCGATCAGCTGGAATCGATTTTCTACAATGTCACATCATGTCATACTAATATAATACTTTATCTCGATTCTTCAAATACCATCTATAACAACGCCTTAGATCAATATCTCTATTCAGTTAGCATTCTATATCAATACAAGATTTGTCAAGCTACTAATTTCACTAACTAGGGTTTACTGAGCCGCCGTGGTTCGAGTACTCGAAATGGAGGTGACACAAACGGCGTCGGACACAACTATGGCTTACATCTTCATTGTTGTCTTTTGTAGTATAAGAATCAACTAAAAAAGGCTTAAAGAAAACCCTAACAGCAATCTATTGAATGATCTTTGGACAATGTAGTACAATGTATATAAGTTTAATATCAGAAAACAGATTACACTCAATAAATCCTAAAAAGATCAACTTACTCTTTGTCCTTCTATTTCTGATTCCTCTAATACAACCCATAACCAACGTTTGTTTTTATCCACATAATCCTGCCAATCAGGCTCACCCTTGGTGTGTTCAGACTTCTGTAGGGGGACATTTAGCAACTCATTCACCAAACTATCTCCGGGTTTCGTCTGGACGCTAGAAATCACTTCCGCCTCATGTTTCAGCATCTCTTGAAGGTCTACTGACTTTTCAGGTTGTGATCGCAAGTAAACTGTTGCATCGTGAGGTACTGTAGATTCCAGCGGACAAACATCATCCACATTTTGAAGGATTTTAAGGGGTAAATCTCGTTCACCATCGTCACTCTCTTTTTCATCCTCGCCAACCCCAGGAATAAATTCTGTGTTGAACTCAATCTCTGTTTTCCTCTCTCCGTCGTCATTCTCACTAGATATGGTTATATCGTCATTCGACACCCCCGAATCCTCACTTTCAGACTGAGTGTCCTTGGGGACCGGCTTGACCCCGGACACTGATATCCAAACCATGTTGTTTTTACCAGTTCCATCTTGCATGTTTCTACGAGAAGAGGGTACTATCCAAATATACAAATCTCCTAATAAGAATACAACAACAATAACACTTTCCAACAGAAGAACACTACAACTCTCTTACTAGTTATAGATTACATAAACAGTTTCAATTAATTCTTCATCACTCTAAACTAAGAATCCAATCGCACTCGTTATAACCCAAACCCTCGTCAATTTTCCAGGAAAGTTTCATGTCATACGTACAATACTCACAGCGTTATTGAAACAGTAAACAACTATATCAAGTTTCTATATAAAACACTGGAATATCGAGAAACATGAAAGAAATGTTGTAATTAAAAAACTAATAAATGAAGATCAATAATCACTAGTAATTATTCTCGTAAATAAAAAGGCTAAAGTTTCTGTAACTTAACTTCTAATTTTTGCATATTTATCAGGGACATTTGTATCTTTACTTCAGATTTGCTTCCTTATTCTCGTAAATTGAAAAAGGTAAAATTTCTAATGCTTAATTCTAAACAATGAAGTTTTATTCTGCTTTTGCATATTTATCAGTGAAACATTATATTGATTAACTTTGATCACCAATTGAAATGTGCTTCCTCGTTTGATTTTAGCATCACAAAATGCACCCACTAACACTTCTAGAATAAACACGAAAGTTTGTATATTTCGTTACAAACGTTTTACAAGGTTTTAGTCGCGCCCTTATAAATCTAATATGGATTCTCATATCTTCAGACAACTAAGCGTCGGATTGGCCCATTTCAGAAGACGATTGATACTAGTCCGAAACATGTGCCTATGTTCCAGCCTCTGAAAGCTATGTTGACTGTCGTCGACTGGAATAGAGTCAGTAAAAATTAATCCCTGTTTCTCACAGCTCTGAAGATGCGATTTTTGTAACACAATATTAAATTACTTAAAAGTCCATCGTGAAATTTCCTCCATGAAATGCAGCTCTACAGAAACTGACAAGGGTTACCGAATAACTCTTCATGAGCACAATCAGAGATCAAAGCAGTTCACATCCATTCTTCAACATCAGAAGTAGAGAATGTTGATCAATGGGATTACACTCGGGTTTTATATTTAAAATATAACTTGAGATATAATCGATGAAATCTATAATATTTGTCAATGTCGGCACGTGGTCTGTCACCGTTTTTTATTGAAATAATGGAAGAGGTTGTTTTTTAGTTTAAGTTTAAAAATTTGTTGACTCTGATTTACATTTTACATTAGTTTATTGTTTTTATAAATTACCGTCTTACTGTCTTCCATTCCAGAAAACGTTATCAAATATTTTCATCAGTATTATAATATTGAAGATGAACAACATTCATACTACTGAATAATCGTTGGAGCGGAATGAAGAAAGATTCAAGCATAGACAGGTAAAAGAAGAAATCCAGTTTCTCTCATTGCAAACTACATGAATATTTGTCGTCCCTATTGCTGACATACCATGTGCTGTAGGACGTAAAACTCCATTTCATTTCAATATCAGTTCAGTTCGATTCAGCGCAATGGTTCATTTGACCTCGTATGACCTATAGTAATATGCATATATCATGATATGGCGATAAGAGTCTATTATCACTGGGCAATATTTCCGAGTTATCATATAATTATCACACTCTATATTCCATACCTGATATTATCATATCTATATATCTCTTCTCTTTCATCTCACCGATATCTTCCCTGTGTTTTAATTAACAGTGTATTGTATATAGACTGACCTGGGTCAACCTGTCCCTTCTTTATAACCATTGTCATTTTAATCCAAATATAATAAAACAGAACCTGAAACATGTTGTTACTCGGGGTTACACGCTTTCTGATAGTTCGCTTCAAACAACTGGACTTATTCAGCCCGTGTCCCTACTGAAGTTTGAAAGTCGTCTTGGCATTTAATGAATGCACACAGGCGTAGCTGAGCCCGAACTCATTGGAGATTACTTAATTAGTTTAAAGTTGATGCAAGACAATGAATGCCTCAGATTTTCTAAATAACCCAGTAACGTGGCATAAACAACCATTATTTCACCTGAATCATTCTTTGATTGTTGTTTTTGCTGCAGATTGTGAAGATGATAATTACAGTAATTATTATGAAGGGTTGAAGAAATGGAGGTCACTGAGTGCAGTTTGCTGGTTGCATAATTCATCAACACCTTTCATTGAAATTAATTAGAATTCAGTTTTAAGGTTGGCGAGGATGAAAAAGAGAGTGACGATGATAACTTTTATCTTTTATATTTTACACACGTCTCGAGATTGTTGGTACCTAATATTGAAATTAAAAGGATATTGTTGTTTATTTAGCCTCTCCACCAGGGTGAACTGATTAAACCTCCAGTTTTAAAAGTTATTAAGTTATTGACCAATTAGATACCAGACCAGATTAGATAACTGGAACACTAAAATAAGACTCTCGTGAAGCAACAAAGAAATTCTAACTAAGATGAAATTCCGATTGTAAAAACTACACACATTTCGTTAAAACAAAAACTTTAAAATATAATAGACTAATCAGATGACTGGAACACTTAATATCATTTTTTTTTAGTTAAGATTTCGTGCCCATCTCTTGCCCATGCAGAAATGACCGAGTCTCATTAAGACCTTTCTCAGTGTCACCAGTACAAACCTTTTATCAAATATTACTATCAATATGAACTCTTTATGTACGGTGAATCAAGCAATTTAATATTCAATAAAGACTTCTCTTTCATGGCGATATTTTTAATATTTTATACAAAAAAGTTCAATAATAATTTTGATATAGTCAGATAATTACAGGTAAAAATATTATTATAGATAGGTTACCATGGCAACCAGATGATTATATTTCTTTATCAACTAGGTAACAACCGGATGTAGACGTCACGTGACAGGGAAAAAGATTGTTATCTTTGTTGACATTGAATAAATGGTCTGAAAGGGTAATTTCTTAATTTGAGGAAAGATTGACAAATTTGACCGATAGATGACAAAGAGCACATAATTACATGTATTGACTTCTTGACTAATTCAACATGTAACGTTTCAGCACAAGTTATGTGGTTGTCCACAAGATACATGGGTTGGCTATAGGTGAAATGATAAATTTTATTTTATTTCACTACCGCTGTTTATTGAGTATAATACTTAAATTTTCAATGAATTTTCAATATGATTAGTAAATATATTTTAAGATCGTCACATTTTTTCAGCTTATGACATAAGACAAGCTTATTGTAGTATAATATCAGTACCAAGCACTGATCTACTGAGTACCATGACATGTGTATTCTTATAGCAGTAATGATTATTACACTTTAAAAACCACCTGCTGCCATTCTGCGATTGGGTTTATCAACTCTCGACCCTTTATAGAGAGTCCACATGTTTATGTATATTGATAGTATCAATATTATTCCTGAAAGTGGACCATTTTAATGTATATTCTTATCGTTATAAGTCACCTACTGGTATTCTGCGATTTGTTTTATCAACTCCATCCATTTCAGTGAGTTCACATATGTCAATATCACGCACTGAATGTGGGCCATTTAAATATATTTTCTTATGGTAATAGTGTTTCGATCCACCTTATACATCACCCGATTGGGTTTGTCAACTTTTCAGAGAGTACACACTGCTGATGATATCAATATCATGCATTAAACGGGGGCCTTAACAGGTATCTATTCGTAATAGTAAGTTCATATTAAAAACCACCTCATGTCGGTCTGTTATTTGGTTTATCAATTCTCTATAGAGTCCGCACAGCTGATGATATCAATATCATGCACTCTAATAGTATCATAGAATACAATGAGTATTCTCGTAATATTGTCAAGTCATATCGTAATCACAGACAGACATACTGTTATATAGATAGCAGATAGTGTCAGGTGGGATAATGGTACCGAATCTCCAGGCTAGATGGTACCGGGTTCAATCTTCCTGAAACTGATATTAATAACTGATTCCTTACCTTACTGCAGTCACCCTAATCCTTAATCTTAATATTAATCCCCACCGCCATTGACTCGCGTTTTTAGGTCACATTACGCCGTGCGTATCATAGTATTCATTTAGGTCACGTGACTTAAACACACCTGTATTGAATGAAATAAACTATGAGAATTGACAGGTGCATTCTATATTATTACTGTAGTCAGGGTCAGTATAGATGAATTCTTGGGGTTAAAAGTCAAAAGAATATTTACAAAAATGAGGGGAGAGGGTAATGAGAGGGGCTCATGACACCTAAGATATCCACCGGTAATTGATAGGTGCGCCTTACAATACTCAAATCAGAGTCAGTATAGAAGAATTTTATGGGTAAAGAAGATGGAAGGAGATTGGAAAAGGAGGGCGTAATGAATTATTGCTTGGAATGTAAAATTGTGCCCTAGAATACTCCTATCAAAGGTTAAACAGTTAGAAGGATATGGGAAAGAGTAACCAGAAATGAAATGGAGTTATACGTCCTACTTTTCTAAGACAATTTGAGCTATTAAAGAAGGTTACCAAGTGTGCGAGGGAATATACAACGCCGGCCTTGCTACTGTTTGAGTGTCAGGAGATAGGACATACCTTCGCAAAACTTCAATGATATTCCAGCCATGTCAAAGGAATGGTTTCTAAAATATTTATATGTGACATTGATTTGCACCTTTCCAATTATCAGTAAGATATTTATGGTTCTTGCAATTCCTACACAACATCCATTAGTACTGTAACTATCGCAAATAATATATAATAAGCGGCTTTTGTGAAATTCAGAGATTTTTATTTTGGAAATGTTTGTGAGACATTGAAGAGTCCCGTAATGCCGAAAATTTGAGATATTTTGTCTGAACATCTTAATTAGAAAACGTTTCTAAACACGACACGTAACTAAAGCAATCCGACCACGTTCAGGCTACACGTACACCAAACAGAATATAAATCCTTCAAGCCCAGTTTAAACAACAATCCAATCTTAAAAGTGTTTATCTGTAATTTACCACGACCTGTTG